CCGGCGGGATAAGGTATGCCGCCGGGTCCCCTCCTCTCTCTGCTGATACTGTCGGGCGTTCGGTCCATGACCAAGCGCCCGACTTTTCAGAGGGAGGTGACGCCCCTCCAATGGTGTCACCCGGGTGCGGGCCGCACCCCCCTGCGTGACGCCACTGAGTGCCATAGTGATGTATACTGCCTGACCAAAAAAAAAAAGTCACCACCTAGATTTAGCTAAGCACATACTGTAGGTCAGAGCCTTCCATTGGATAAGTGTTGTGATCTGGGGATGCTTCAGTTGGTCAGGTCTAGGTTCAGCAGCGTTATGTCCCCAAAATATGAGGTCCGCTGCCTCCCTGAATATATTGAATGATCAGGATTTTCCAGCAATGGATTTTTTCTTCTCTGACGGCACATTGGGCATATTCCAAGATGACAATGCCAGGCATGATCCACCGGGCTCAGATTGTGACAGAGTGGTTCAGGGAGCATGAGACATCATTGTCACGCATGGATTGGCCACCACAGAGTCCAGACCTGAATCCCATTGAGAATCTTTGGGACGTGCTGGAGAAGACTTTACGCAGAGGTCCAACTCTCCCATCATCACTATGAGGTCTTGGTGAAAAATGGATGCACGGAAATAAATGTTGTGACATTTTATATGTAAATGATGCCAAAGGGAATGTGTGCAGTAATCAAAGGTGGTCCAATGAACTATTAGAGTGTGTGACTTATTTTTGGCCAGGCCGTGTACGGTGTACATCGGGGTCATCTGAACCCAATCCTCCATTGCCGTGTACCAGCCGTAGTTCTGTATCAGATGCATCCGGCAGACGTTTCCCAGCACTGATTGGAGTTGAGATACTTGGGAAAGGAGACATTATAGATAAAGACAGACGTACCTGAAGTGATCGACGAAGAAGACCAGGAAGGCTCCGAAATAGAAAATGAGGAAGAAGAGGAAGCACAGCAGCGTGGCGTGGATATAGACCGAGTCTGGGGGAGGGGGAAATAATGACAATATGTCCTGATGAACCAAGTTCCAGAAATGTGACCATTGCAACACACCTAGTCAGGAGGAGGACAGGAAAGTGTCTGTGTGGCTTGTATTGACCAATCAGACATCTTCCTTGCCCTTTATCGCCTGCACTAGGAAATTACATCAAGAGAGATGCCAACAGTATAAAAAACAATTTCCAGGGACCATCTGTGTGTGTTACATCATGATGGTGATTTGGACAACTATAGTCCCATTACAGTATGGCTGCAGACAGGGGCGTAATTAGAAATCACAGGGCCCCATAGCAAAATTTTGTATGGGGCCCCGTGATTGCTAGTTATGCCACTTGCAGAGCCCACCTGATATACCAAACAGCCCACCTGAGAGTGACCCTGCAGAGCCCACCATAGACTCTCTATAGGGGGCTCTGCAGGGTCTCAAATGGGCTGCACACCTCTTACCTGTCAGCGATATCCGCCTCCGTGGTCGCCAGGCCCCGCCTACTCTTCCGGGCCCCGCCTTTTCGTCTATCGATGGGCCCCGCCTCCTCTTACATCACTGGCCCCACCTGCTCTTAGGTCGCTGGCCAGTCATGTAAGAGGAGGCGGGGTTGCTCTTAGGCGGGCCCCGCCTCCTCCTTCACTGCGAACGCTGACCTCTTCTGCCGTAGCTGCTGGCTGTCACTGACACAGCTCCGCAGCGGCTGTGAGGGGGAAACGCAGCTTCTGAGCTGCGTCAGTGACTGCCAGCACTCTTACATGCCATAGCGACCCAGGCGGCCCACACAGCATCAGAGGGATGCCCTGGCCGGGCCCCCCTGTGCCTGGGCCCCATAGCGGCCGCCTGGTTCGCTATAGCGATTGTTACGCCACTGGCTGCAAATCAGAGAAGGCCACTTGATACAGCAAGTAAAGTGCGGTGAACATCTAGTTTTCTGCATTAAGGAGAACCTGTCGTAAAAGGGAAACCCAGCCTAGAATTTACTTATTCAGGGGAGCCCATTGAAGATGGGTATCAGTGGGTGGTCTAGAAAGAGAGCTTCTCCCTTTGCCCTGGATGTATTTTTATCTGGATCAACTGCTGCACTACAGCAAACACGACTGCCATTAGAATTCATGGGGCCCCATAGAACCTAACTGACCATGCCCCCCACCCCAACATTTCCATTGGATGAGTTTTGACTAGTGATGTTCTTCCAAACCCGTCCCCCAGCTACTCCCACATGTTAGTGCAGAGGGACTTTGTAGCATACACCACAACAGCTTGGTGTGTTTCACCCCTGGCACCATGCCTGGCCACCCAACCGGAGCAAAAAGCTTTGCAGCCCGAACACTCTCATCCCACCTGGTGGCTATGGAAGGAGGAACTGCCTCGGGCCCCAAACCCAGTGTGCAGGAGTCCCTGAATTGAGCCGTGGATGCTGCACTGTTGTCAGCCCCTTTCAGGCCCGGGTTCTATGTACAGAAGAGGATTATTAAGACTTCATCTCTTACTATTGATTGACTGAATGATGTTGACTTCAATGTGCTTGACACGCTTCAAGTTCCACGTGTGATTTCCTGTCCGGGAGAAAAGAAAACAGATATTGTAATGTATGTATTGAATGTAAAGTGTACGTACAGATGACGTGCTATAATGTATAATTCATCTATTCATTTGTAAATGTAGGCAAAGCCAACTTATTGATAGAGTAGGATAGGTCAGGACCAGTGGCGTCACAATGGGGGTGTGGCCCGCACCCGGGTTTCACCATTGGAGGGGTGACACCAAAATGACTGACAACCCCTCTGAAAAGTCGGCCACTCGGTCAAGGACCGAGAGCCCGACAGTTGCTCGAGAGAGAGAGGAGGGGACCCGGCGTCAGACCTTGTCCCGCCGGGTGACGCCCCCTCCTCTCTCTGCCGGCGTCCAGCACCAAGATGGGCGCCGGCAGGTAACAGCGTTACCGCGCGTGACGTTATCACGCGCGTGCGCGATGAGGTCACTGTGGAGTGTCACCCGGTAAGCGCACCGGGTGTCTCCCCGCCTCGGGACACCTCAACATAATTTCTCTTTTATTATCCCATTGGGAAGATTTACCTTCACTTCCTGCCCCATAGACACAACAGGATATGTGATGGAAGCAGACATGTGAATAGACCTTCTGTTGTCAGAAGGCTCCACTTGTGCTGCGCACTGCAGTATGGGAGAATAGTAATGACTGCAGTTCCGCAGTTTCACCAGCAGAGAGCAGCATCTTACCGACTGAGGCCGCTGGGACCGTCCCTCCGCAGGCATAATCCTCTGGTTTGATGACAAACACGATATAGAACTGCCCTTTAGGGAAATCCTTCCTCTGGTAAAGGGAACAAGAAGAACAAATGTTAGCCGAAGATTATAAAAGATCATTTCCACCTTCACAAGACTTTACTCTGCGAGATGAAGCTGCCACTCGTTACAAACTGACCCATGCAAATATTGTATACACTACCGTGTTTCCCCGAAAATAAGACACTGTCTTATATTTTTTGGGGCTCAAAAAAACACACTAGGTCTTATTTTCGGGGTAGGTCTTATTTGTTTGAATTTTTTTAATGTACAACAATCCACACTTATTCATGTACAAAAATATGGTGATCAGGGCAAACAGGGGTGCTGTACCTTTCCAAGAGCAATTTGGTAACCAATCACTGGCCAGAATGAGTGAAGCGCACTTTCACTATCCATTCCTCACAGGCTGAGCGCATTTGGTATCACTCCGACTGACAGGAGCCGGCGCTATAGAGGAAGCAGCGGCTCTGCTCCCTCCACTGCCGCCTCGCTTCCTCTAGCGCTGGCTTTGTTGGTACCGCTGATTCTCTCCCGCGGCTCTTCAAGTTCCCCCTTATGCCACCACCGGCCCTGGGAATGGTCACAACTAGGTCTTATTTTCGGGGTAGGTCTTATATTCTAGCAATTCCCAAAAATAGTACTAGGTCTTATTTTCGGGGAAACAAGGTATATCTCTAAAAGTATGTGGTCACCCCTCCAAATGACCTCGGGTTTCTCCAGTGAAGGGTTCTGTTAATGCTACAGTATACAAAGATAGCATTCTGCATGGGGGAATCTGAAGATATTTTAATGAAAAGAAATACAATTCCAGCAAAATCACAAACACTCATTACTGCAACATCATTGAATCCGGTGTAGTGAGAATGGCCCCAGAAATACGACTCCGCCCATAAGATAAAAACAATGGACGCATCTGATTGTAAGCATGACTTGCCCTTACCTTATCAGTATCTATATCTCCTTCCAGAACTTGTCAGATCTGTCTAAAGTATGGAAGGTCAGCACCCGTCAGCATTCTGCTGCTCTCTCTGGCCCCGTTGGGTAGATTTTCCCTTCAGGGCCCATTCACAATAAAACAATCCTTTGTGGAGATAACTCCTGCGCATTATGGCGTGCATTGTTGTGTTAAAGGAGAACTATGAGGTTAGTGTTTCTCCCCATAGTTCTCCTCAGGGTTCACGGGAGGACATAAACTAGCGTCCTACCGTCACGCAAAGCTCAGTATATCGCAAGCTACAGCTTGCGGTATACTGAGACCGCCGCAGCCGGGACGGATACCGACATTACTGTCTGGATCCACCCAGCTGCGTGAGTGACAGCTGACTCTGCCTCTCTATAGGCAGAGCCAGCTGTACCCGCCCCCCAGTCCGTTCCGCCAGTCAGCGCTGGAGGATCGGAGCGGGGAGGGGGGGGGGGAATCCCTGCAGGGAGCGGTGACTGAAAGTCACCGCTCTCTGCAGGGACATGATCGAGAAGTGAGCAAGCGATGGTATGTGTTCCCTCAATTCCTGATCTATTGAGCCGACGTGTCACAGTTTCATTGTCACAGGTCGGCTTGACCTATGAGGTTGAGTGAAAATCACTCGCCTCATAGTTCTCCTTTAAGACGGCCTATTCATTATGAATGGGCTGCCAATGCACCACAACCAAAGAAAAAAAAAAACCAGATTAACCTTTTGTTAACAATGCAATGCACCACAATGCACGAGATATACAGTGTGGTGCATCATGCATTGCACTCCATTGTACATTGCACTGGGGTGCCATTCACAATGAATGGCACCATAACGCACTGCGCATAAAGCAGCGGATCCCCATTAGCCAGCCCAACTTTTGCCCTTTTTATGAATGCCTGCTGCTCAGGTCTGGCATTGCCACGCATGGTAAGGCGTGCATATTGGCGCACACTGCCGCAATGTACGATTGTGAATGTGCCCCCTGAGGAATAATTTCCGGGACAAGCAGAGGCAGCAGTAAAATATTTATTCATAGAATAGGGGAAGGCTACAGCTCTCATCAGCCTTTTATTGTATGAGGCTCCTCGGGGGGGGGGCGCAGGAAAGGATTTTCAGGGTAACAGCGTGTCACGGTCTCTGCTCTCAGGAACAACTTTTGAATACTTTCTCAAATGAACCCTTGCAGTCAGGGGCGTAACTACAGGTCATGGGACCCCATAGCAAACTTTGCACCGCCCCCAATCCCCCCCTCCACCCTCTCCGCAAAATCTAAATCAAGGACAGGTAGCAGGAGAGCTGTCCGCATAGTTTCCTGCTGCACATCTGCCAGCTTTTCTTGATTGGAAATTTCATAGGGGGGGTACAGGGCCAACAGCAACTTCTGCAATTCTTAATGGGGCCCCCTTCCACCCTTAGGCCCCATAGCAGCCGCATGGGCTGCTATAGCTATTGTTATGCCACTGCTTGAAGTGGGGCTACCCCCCCCCGCACTGCAAGGGTTAAGTGCTCGTTTTGTCCAGGGGCCCAAATAAAGAAATACCCGATCCTCTGTCCCATCCTGGCTCCCAGACCGGTCCCTGCAGCCTCTTTTACCCGGGCTCTGGCGGTCTAGGGACCCCGGATGTCATCATATCTAATACAGTCCATTCACTTGCATTAGACGTGAAGGCGCCGAGCAATATATCCCAGCCGGAGCGGAGAGGGAGAGATGTGAGTGCCGTCCCCAGCAGGACCCAGGATCAGGTGAGTATATCTTCTTTATGTCAGCCCCTAGAGAAAAACCAGCACTTAACCCTTGCAGTGTGGGGGTAGTCTCATTGCAAGGGTTTCAATGTGCTCTGTGCGCAAACTATATAAATAATACTCGAAATGTCCACAGACCACATCATTTAGCATTACAAGGTGTATACTAGTAGATATATAGTATTTATTTATTATTATTATTCAATGTAACAAATTATAATTACATTACTTTGTGTTATTGTTACTTTTTTTTTTTAGTTTATGGCTGAGCACCGTTTTTTGGGAGAGAATCATTAAAATAATTTGGGATCTAAAAAAAAAGAGGCAATGAAAGGGAGGGGAGAACAGAATGGCCGATGCCAGCTTGTCCCAACACAGATTGCCAGCAAGGGAGATGGCGTTGGGGATCCGAGGGCCGCGCTTACCTGGATGGTTATCGCAGCCTTCTTTGTCATAGACTGGTAGACGCCATTAAATTCCACATTGTGGTCCAGATCGTAGACGGGACACTGGAAGAGAGCAGAGTGGAGATGATTTGTGACTGCCAGAGAAATGCAAAGTGGGTTACAGCAGCACTCGGGGTTCTATAAGGACCAGCAAGTCACACATATGATCAGGGTCAGACTGGAGGCTTCAGGGCCTACAACATGTCCCCAGTCTATCTCCTGTAGTGTCTTTAGTCCCTCACCACCCTGGATGCATGTCGGCAGGCTCTTATTGTCTCCTCTAGTATGACTGACGTCTCCCACAGTCTTCTGTCTTATACTGAATAATATGTGCAGCCTTTTGGAGGTGTCAGGGGCCACCTTGTTAGTTGACAACCACTGTAATAAGGTTTGGGGTCTAAGTTATGGGGACAGGAACCGGGCCGGGTGCCCAGGTAAGCGACCTACCCATGTCTTGGACCATGGAAGTAGTGTGTGTGGTCACTCTAAAAGATTCTTACATTGCTTCAGGTCAAAGTATATTGTGTAAATCTATCATATACCTGGGTCATCAGTTCCTCCATAGATATTTAACTTCAGAAATCCATTCCTTGAGTATGTGTGGGGGGATGGGGAGAGTTGGTTTCCATCGCCTCAGAATTACTGTTAGCTGCTAATAGTAAGAAACGTAGGAGGACCTTCTTTATGACCGATCCCAAAATCATTGAGAGGAGGGTGATTTCTGGTATCTCGGGCCTGTCACCTGCTTGTATATGTCAGCCTTTCCCAATCTTTCTCTACTCAGAGAATCCCCTAAAATAATGTAGTTATTGGGGGGTCAATGGGGAAGACACCCCCAGATGGTCAGTAAGAATAATGGAACCCTTACAGTGGTGGTCAGAATGCCACCCTAACAGACAGCTAACTAGATAACTGGGTCATGCTGCTGGTTTGATAAGTAGTGTTGGTCCTGGAACTATATAGGCACCATCCACTTGAAGGTCATCAGCCACAGCAACCTGTAAGAGGAACCCCTCTAAAACCATGGCTGGGAATGGCTGGTATATAGGGAATGTGTTTCTACAAGGCTAGTATCCAAGGGCATGTCTACCCATGGGGACCTTAGAACCCCCCTGAGTGAGTGACCTGAGTGAGGTTGAGAATGGATGGTATATAGTGAAGATGTGTTTCTACAAGGCTAGTATCCAGGGGCATGCCCACCCATGGGGACCTTAGAACCATGGTTGAGAATGGATGGTATATAGTGAAGATGCTTTTCTACAAGGCTAGTAACCAAGGGCTGTTCCACCCACGGGGACCTTTTTTCACGGGGAACCTGAGGTGGAAAAGTTGGTTAAGCTAAAGAATCCATTTTGATATTCGAGACTCCATCTTGTTATACATAAGTCCCAAGGTCTGTGGAGATCAATAGTTTTTATCTTTGCAGAGTGTGCAAAGATATATTTGTGCGGACCCTGCAAAGAGATATCTCAGTCTGTGTTTACAGGCCTTTTCAAAGGATTTTTCTTGTTCTTAGCAAACACCTGTGTGGGGTTAGTTGATAAGACGACAAATACTGACTATCTTTCAATGATGTTACAGTGTAACTAACAAGGAAAAGATGCTGATGCTATGGTTTTAGAGAGTTAACCATTTAAAAGTTGTGATAAATAGTCAAATAACTATTGGATAATTTGTATTTCTGTGTCGGCCCAGTGTGGGATGACACTGGGAGGTATCTCATGAATTATGCTAATGTGACTTTGTTTAAACGTTTTGTAATTCCTCTTTATGGTAGTAGTATGCTGGCTATCGTACTGCCCCATTGTGTCAAGGACACAAATCTCTGTTCCTGGTTTCTTGCGAGGCCCGGTATTCCTGCCAGGACAAACCCTACAGAACCATGGTTGAGAATGGCTGGTATATAGTAAAGATGTGTTTCCAGAAGGCTAGTATCCAGGGGCATGTCCACCCATGGGGACCTTTTTCCACGGGAAACTGTAGAGAACCATGGTTAAGAATGGCTGGTATATAGTAAAGATGTGTTTCCAGAAGGCTAGTATCCAGGGGCATGTCCACCCATGGGGACTCTTTTCCACAGGAAACCCTACAGGACCATGGTTGAGAATGGATGGTATATAGTAAAAATGTGTTTCCAGAAGACTAGCATCCAGGGACATGTCCACCCATGGGGACCTTTTTACCCGGGGAACCGTACAGAACCATGGTTGAGAATGGCTGGTATATAGTAAAGATTTGTTTCTAGAAGGCTAGTATCCAGGGGCATGCCCACCCATGGGGACCCTAGAACCATGGTTGAGAATGGCTGGTATATAGTAAAGATTTGTATCCAGAAGGCTAGTATTCAAGGACATGTCCACCCATGGGGACCTTTTCCAACAGGGGACCCTACAGAGCCATGGTTGAGAATGGGGCATTTCCACCCATGGGGATCTTACAACCATGGTTGAGAATGGCTGGTATATAGTAAAGATTTGTTTCCAGAAGGCTAGTATCCAGGGATGTGTCCACCCTTGGGGACCTCTTTCCATGGGAAACCCTAAAGAACAATGATTGAGAATGGCTGGTATATAGTAAAGATTTGTTTTCAGATAGCTAGTATCCAGTGGCATGGCCACCCATGGGGACCATTTCCATGGGGAACCCTACAGAACCATGGTTGAGAATGGCTGGTATATAGTAAAGATTTGTTTCCAGAAGGCTAGTATGCAAGTGCATGTCCACCCATGGGGACCTTTTTCCACAGGGAACCCTACAGGACCATGGTTGAGAATGGATGGTATATAGATAAGATTTGTTTCCAGAAGGCTAGTAACCAGGGACATGTCCACCCATGGGGACCCTTTTCCACATGGAACCCTACCTAACCATGGTTAAGAATGGATGGTATATAGTAAAGATTTGTTTCCAGAAGGCTAGTATGCAAGTGCATGTCCACCCATGGGGACCTTTTTCCACAGGGAACCCTACAGGACCATGGTTGAGAATGGATGGTATATAGTAAAGATTTGTTTCCAGAAGGCTAGTAACCAGGGGCATGCCCACCCATCGGGACCTTTTTCCACCCTTTGTCTTGGTGTTAAAGCCTGATGTTTGTTTTCTTTGTCACTCCATGTTATTCTTTTAACATTTTGTATTTTATTATACAGAAATAACAGTGCCGCTGCTTTATTCTGTTTCTAAATCACAGCAAAGTATTGTAGTGCTCTGCAGGTGCTAAACTAAAGGCGAGCCCGGACCCTGTCCTCAGCCGCTGGAGGCCGGCCATTTATCATCCCCACTGTGGACGATTTCCTCAACTTTATTGCAGAATCTGCGGGCCGTCCACAATTCCTGTCCCTCCCGCTGACTCTCTAATTTCCTGACAGATGCTGGAGCCGAGTCAGCCCGCTGAGCGATGGACTGTGCTGCATTGCTGGCCAAGAGCAAAGAAGCAGCATGGTGGATGGCGTCAGCCAATTAACGCTGTGTGGTCACATGACCGAGTACATACAGATCGTCCTATGTTTTCAGCATGTAGCTGAACTGTAGGTCATTTTTTTTTTGTTTAGCATTATTGTTTCTTCAAGGGTGAACGAAGAATCATTTTGTGAACCTTCTGCATTACCTGGGGATGTGGACTGACTATAAAGTGCATCCTGAGGTCAATGGGTCTTCACTACTGTTGGAACAGAGGTTAAGCTGAAGCTCCGGGGCGCAACTCATTACATCTGACAAGTGGTCGTATGGGCAGCGCCGCCATCACAAATCATGGGGCACTGTACAGCCTACCTGAAGGCCACCCCCCCCCCCCCCCCCGTTTCCCCCCAAAAACATAATATATTCACTTTCAACTGCTCCTCTTTGCCTCTCCTCAACAGAGGACCTCCAGTACACAGGGGGTCTACGTGAAGCATGGCTGCCTGTACCCTTCTATTGGTGGCCCTGAGTATGAGTTCCAGAAAGGTGGCCCAAGTATCACGGGCAGGTGGTGGACCAGCCAGAGCAGAAGCAGGCTTCGGTTAGGTATGAGTTCAATGTACAACCCGGTACAGGCTGATGCAAACAGATGACAGCCAATCAGAACCTGTTGATGAACACACACTTGGAGCTCTGAGCTCACTTTAAAGATTGATAATGAGGTCAGCTGAGAAAGCCTGTTGGTCTTGCTGCAGTGCCGGAGAATAGATGGTCCAGTAGGGGTCGGGTGTTAGATCCTGGATCAAAGTCTTGCCACATTACAGAGGAAGGTGAAGTACATGGTACTGGTGAAGCACAGGATCCAGCAGCTTAACCCCTTACCGTCAGCTTCCTTGGGTCCATTAGGGGTTTCCTAATGTTAGAGGCGTTCCCTGATCATGTGATGATTGTGTATGGCTGTCACAGTGATCACATGATCAGGAGCCTGTCCTATTGGTTCCTGATTGGAAACACTGTTGGTGACCGTGTGTTCACAGAGCTGGAGATGCGCAATTGAGTGCACTCCCAGCACAAATCAGCAACGTTGGCTGTACGCATGTGCATGGCAGCACGGAGTTAAAGCCCACTCCCCATATATGGTATGGCTGGCGACAAACCACCCTTGGCCTTACACAAAGGTCCGTCCTCCATATGTTCCTATGCCTCTGTGAGATTCACTACAGAAGAGGAAAGAGGATTGGCGTAGCATGGGGAGCTTGATGCAGTTACATTTGGATGAATCACTCTTCTTCAGCTGTGTGTGTAACCTGAGCTTCAGCTATTGAGCTTTGTAAACAACTGGCATACCAGCCACTTACCGCAATATCCTGGACGGAGACCACGGTGCAGGGAAAGGTCTCTGCCGAGCGAACCTTGATCATCACGGAGTTCACACCTTCCGGGAACGTGTACAGGAAATACTGCGTGAGAAAAAGTGAACGGCGTGAGCAACTTCCTGTGTGTACGACCACGGGTCTATGACAAAGCTGACACAGCTGTCAATGGGAACCGATGGATCATTTTCTGTCCTTACAAAATTGTAACATTAACCTGAATTCTAATCTCTATTAAAAACACAGCTGTGGGAATTTATCAAAACTGGAGCAGACAAAATGCAGAGCAGACAAAATGCAGAGCAGACAAAATGCAGAGCAGACAAAATGCAGAGCAGACAAAATGCAGAGCAGATTTGCACTGCAGCCAATGAGCTTCTGTGTCTCATTTTCAAATCTTACCTAGGCAAACTGTAGAGAGATGCTGATTGGTTGCCATGGGCAACTGCTCCAGTTTTGATAAATTCCCCCCAGTAAGGTCCATATGGGACAGCAAGGATGGCAGAATTTCACGTAAACTATGTTCTTGCTGTTCCGTGTTTCCAACACAGATCTGCAGATTCTCCCTCATGTGTGAATATCAGTGTGAATGTTCAAAATCCAAATACTGAGATACACTAAATTACCAGAAGTATTGGGACGCCTTTACACGCACATGAACTTTAATGGCATCCCAGTCTTAGTCCGTAGGGTTCAGTATTGGGTTGGCTCCACCCTTTGCCGCTATAACAGCTCCGCCTCTCCTGGTAATGCGTCCACAAGGTTTAGGAGTGCTACGCTTGTAGTCACTGAGCTCCTGAGAGCGACACATTCTTTCACCAATGTCTGTAGAAGGGTCTGCATGCCGAGGTGCCTCATCCTACACACCGGGGACCATGGGGGGGATTGGAACACCTGAATCACATGATTTGGAGGGGCGTCCAAACACTTTTGGCAATATAGTGTAAGTCCAACTCCAGCCAAACTCCCTTCGCTTCTAAGGAGTCAGATCTCCCGTCGGGTTTCATTGCTGTGTCCCCGCTGGTGAGATTTTTTACCTTCACTTCCTGTGGCAGAGATAGTAGTCACCAGAACAGGAAGTCAACAACAATAGGAGGCCAAGACAGCAATAAATCCCCGCCGGAGATTCACAGGCCTTCCGCTTTAAAGCTGGACTCCGGCCACACAGAGATTTGTGTCCTTTGCGGTTATTGACGAATAGAGTTTAGTTTTAAAGTAGAAAAACGACTCTAAATACTCGCCCCCCCCCCCCCCCCGCCCCGCCCCGGGGGAGATACAAAGTAAACAAACAAAAATGCTGCAGATGATGAGAATTCAGGTAAAATGCTGCAGTCAAGTTCTAGTGCGAGCACTCCAGAGGTCACGCCATCTGACTCCGGCAATGTCCCCCGGGGAGCAGAACAACTGGAAACGAAAACTCGCTGCGCGGGAGGAACTGATGACTCTGCACAACGCGCCCGCCGTTAAAATGCGGGCAAACCCCAAAAAAAAACAGCTCCTCCCTATTTGCTTCCTTTTCTTCTGTTAAAGAGAACCTGTCACCGGACCGTTTACATCCACCAAACTCTCCTCGTCAGGTAATAGGAGCATTAAGGGCCCGTTCACACCAGATGGGGTGCGTTCCGGCCCGATTCTGGCCAGAACGCACCGCCTCGCACTGCGGCCGGCTCACTATTTTGTGAGGCAGGAGGGGGCGTGGCAGGCCATTGAAGTGAATGGCCTGCGATCGCCCCCCCGCACAGGATCGCAAGGCACTATCGAAATAATAATAGTGCTTGCAGCATGTTTATATTCTACCTCGGAAATAACTATTCTGTTTAGGTTTTTTTTTCTTATATAAATACATTTTTTTATTTTGTATTATGTTTTAGATTGTATATGTTTATAAACAATTATTTAGACATTCAGACACTTATAGATTTTATATATTTTTTAAAACTATTTAATATTTTTTTTTGTTTTCATTATCTGTGTATTTTTTAATTTAATTGTTTTGTATTATATTTTAGTTTTTATATGTTTATAAATAATTATTCTGGTACATTTTTTTCTTGTGTTTAATAGTTTTATTTTTATTTCGTTTTCTTTATTTTGTCATTTTCTTTTTTTTAATGTATCTTTTGTATAATATTTTATGTTTTACATGTTTATATTCTACCTTGTAAATAACTATTCAGTTTTTTTTTTCTTATATTAATTTTTTTTTGACATTTGGTATTATGTTTTAGATTTTAGATGTTTTAACTATTTCATAGTTTTAACTTGTTTTTATCTTTTGTGTTTTTTTGTATTTTTATTTTTTTTGTATTATATTTTAGTTTTTATATGCTCCAGAAATAATTATCACTTTTTTTTATGACGACATTTTCCCGGCTGAATCATTATTTGCGAGCCTGATCTCCGCCGTCACCTTCCAGCATTTCTGTTCTCTGCCCAGAAGGTAAACACGGCGCAGGAGATAAGAGGACGAGGCCGGGGGGCGGGGCCACCTTACCTGAGGCTGGGACGGCGACGCGCTGAAATTCAGAGGAACTCCCGTCCTGTATCAGAGCAAAGACAGAGAGAGGTGAGAGCCGTGACCGAGGACCGCACACAGGACAAGCTGTCTCATAAAGTGGACCTGTCATCACATTTCTATCTGCTCCCTGGGGGAGGGGAGACTGAGGAAATGCTTCCTCCTGCTTGCAGCAGACTGATCACTGGGGGAGGGGAGACTGAGGAAATGCTTTCTCCTGCCTGCAGCAGACTGATCACTGGGGGAGGGGAGACTGAGGAAATGCTTCCTCCTGCCTGCAGCAGACTGATGACATCATCTCAGCCTAGGCCAAAGTCACCGGACTGGAAGGGCCACTGGGACACTTAAAGGGACATTTTTTGTTTCTGTATATATATATAAAAGTCTATATACACCAGCTGAGAGATGAGATCAAGCTTGCAGTAGGAGTTGCCTTCAGCTGATTGGCTGGCAGTTGTCCACCCACAAGGCGGCCATGTGCAATGATTCTGCTACTTACTGGAGTTCGAAGTTGAGCAGCCGGGTGACGATGAGCTCGTACTCCACACTAGAGGGCGCCATGGAGGCGATGTCGATGAACATCAGCTGATCGGAGGGCGGAGCCTGGCCCGCGGGGTGGGTGGGGCACAGCGTGCGGCTGACGTCCTGGTAGGTGTAGGTCATGTGATAACTGGAGGGAAAAGAAACACATCATTGGGGTGATGAGGACACAACGCTCAGACATTCAGGGGGCGTGGCTGAAGGTATATGCAAATCTTGACTTTTCCTGGAAATGCCTGAGTTTGACCCCGACCACCCCTTCCTAGGGGTTCTTTGTGATTGGGGGAGGGAAAGGCCACAGTCGGAGGCGATAGGGAGCTGGGGGAGGGAAAGGCTGTAGAGGGGGACAGGACACATCATCCTCAGGCTCACAGAGGTGGCACTTACTATCCCCTGAAGGCGAGGGGGATCTGCCATGACAGCACCGCTTTCTGCTGGCGGACCACGAAGAGGACGGGGAACTCCAGATCATCGGAATTGGAGCGGACAAACACTCGAAGAGCGTCCACCTGGAGGAAGAGAGCGGAGTGCTGATCAATACAGAGGAAGGCGACTCTGATAACATTGCGTCACAAATTATCTCGCTATTATATAACTAAACGGAACTTTTCATGAACCCGCCCACCCTGAACATCCCAGATAACACATTCCATATACAGCGCAAGGCGCAAACAACAACCGCATGCTGCCGTTATGAGCGCAGTAATGCATGGGCCCTAAATTATTTGGATCTCCTTCTATACAAAGCCGGATTTTCTATTGTTGGAGCCTGCAGCTCATCACAGTTCATGTGCTGAAAAGGAACATGCGGACGGAAGGAGAAAGCAGAGTGACAGAGATGATCCCATCACTGTGCTGCTTCTCCTTTCACTGTGCAGTCACAGGTTGGGGGCTTGTCCGGGATGACCTGGGCTCAGGGGAAGTGGGTTGAATGACGCTGGCTATCAGACTGAGGACATCTGGTGGCGGGAGAAGAGCACTGCGGGGGTAAATCTCTGAATTGAAGGTGAATACATTTTTATCTTGTTATTTTCGGTTGGCGTTCGGCTCCGCGGTTATATATCAAGCTTTGTTTCTAGTAATGCTGGCCTAGAGGCCCGGGCCTACTCTGCCTAATGGTAAATCCGGCCCCTGCTTCCATCACAATGCCATTTTGTTCGTCTGGCTGCCTTTGCCTGTATCGGACAGACGCGGCTGTGGAATTATTTGCACTGGAGCGGCCCCGGCGGGCCCCCACGATCGGAGAAGACATTTATCTCCGGCGTTAATGGGTTGCAGCAGTTCACGCCATCTAAATAATTCACATTTACACATCGCCGTGGGTTATGTAACGCGCCGCGTGTGCGCTCTTGGGCTGAGCTCATGCGGAATGATTCTGGCGGGGGGTGAGCGCGGGGTTAATCAGAGCGCGGGTTGCATCTCGCCGATGTCCTGCTTTCCATGCGGCCGCCTGGCAACCGGCGGCTCGCGGCTGGATCTCCAGGAA